ATACTATATTATAATTCTCCATAAAATTGTAATTATAACATTGCCTTTATTACAGAAAGAGAGCCAAAAAATGGAGATAATTACATGAAGAGTTAGATTTTCTATTTTTTTTCGGGGGATGGGAATAGGGTTAGAGTAGCATGTGACCTTTTGATCTGATTGTTTGTGAAAGTAAAATAAGTTATCCACTTGATTTAATTAATGGGTAATTTTGGTTTGAGTCCAGTCCAATCACGAACAATACCACGTTTCTCCCAATTGCACCCTCTTGTTAAAAAAGGGTACCCATGAATTTTTCTCAGGTACATTTGATGATATCGCAAGCATTGAGGAACTAAAATAATTCCTCAGAGCAGAAATTTAAGATGAAAAGTCTTGGTGTTTTGAGTTATTTTTAGAATTTGAAGCTATTTCTTTAAATGATAGCTACTTACTTTTTCAAGTAAAGTAAGAGCAAGTTTGGTGCAGCTCCAAGGAGTTTCAGCTTTTGGGCACTATTCATGTCTCATGAATTTAAATTTTTCTCTTAAAAACTTACACTTTTAAATATTTTTTTAACCTCAAAAAGCTCTTAAACAGTAAAAGTTCAAAAGTTTCAAATTCAAACTTTTCATAAACTCTCTTTTTTACTTACTTTTCACTTCCTTTTTCACCTTCTTAAAAACTAAAACTCTATTTTCCTTCCAATAAAAATTTAAACTTATCACTCATAACAGTACTAAAAAAACTAAAGCTCTCACAAGCCATACCAAACAGGCCCTAAGTCTTGGATCTTATTTTTAAAGTTGAACTTAATAACAGTACTTCTTCAAACGATAGTTACTTGCTTTTTTAAGTAAAGTATGCATCCGATCTTGTTTCTGAAGTTGAATTCAATAACAGTAAAAGTGTTTCTACACCTCTTGAACCTAATATCAAATTTACACCTATAGATGGCTCTCCATTTTATGATCCTACTCGTTATCGACAATTGGTTGGTAGTCTAGTTTATCTTACCATGACACATCTTGACATAGCATATGCAGTTCACATTGTTAGTCAATTTATAGCTACTCCTCGCTTCACTCATTTTGCAGCAATACTTGACATTATTCCCTATGTTAAGGGAACATTGTTTTATGGACTCCATTTTTCTGCTAACTCCTCCTTTGTGCTTCGTCCTTATTCTGATGCTCATTGGGCTGGTGATCCTTCTAATTGTAGATCTACCATCGGTTATTGTCTTTTCCTTGGTAATTCTCTTATCTCTTGGCGGAGTAAGAAACAAACTATTCCATCTCGTTCTAGTCTTGAAGTTGAGTATGGAGCTCTTGGCAATACTACATCAGAACTTCTTTCATTATGGTGGTTTCTTGAAGATATATGCATTCCTCAACCTTTTTCCACTGATTTATATTGTGATAATCAAAGTATTATACAGATTGCTCACAATGATGTCTTTCATGAACGTACAAAGCAAATTGAAGCTGATTATCACTTTATTCATCGTCATGTTGCAAAGGGAACTGCTCGTTTGATTTTCATTAATTAGTTTTGCTGATCAGCCTGTTTATTTGTTAACCAAGGCTCACTTCCCTGGACGCATCCAAACTCTTTTTTCCAAACTTAAGATGGTTGTGATGAAACCAACTTGAGTTTGAGGGAGGATGTTAAGAAGAGAGGATGTCAAGATATAAACACAGTTATTGTAAATATTTTATATTTTAGAATATTCTTTTTATATATTTTATATTTTAAAATATTCTCTTTATAAACACCTATATATAGGTAATTGTACATACAATATTATTTAAAAAAGCAATAAACCTTTCTTCAAATATTTCTTCTTCTTCTTCTTTCTAATAACCCTCAACAAGACTTTAATAATTAATTGCAATACATTTTAAATTTTTTTTCAAGTAATTTTTTTTTTCCAAAGCATTCTCCTATTAATTCTCTTGTAGTCTTGTTGTACTCACTTCACAGTCCACACTCCAGCCTGTGCTATTTTTTTCTCCAACATTTGTCCAAATTTAACTTTAATTTAAATAATCTAAAATTGTATTTATTGTGGAAAGGCAATCGAAAGAGACAAAATTGAAACATTCGAATTAATTATGAAGTTGAATCTTAAAGGTCTTATGTTCAAAATATGGGACTTGTGAAAAGAGATTTAAGATATAAAGGGTAAACATTTGTTGTAAAACTCATTAACGGTGATTCAACTTATTATCAAAGTTGAATTTTGATAATGTATGTACCTTAAGAAAAATTCTTTTTTAACATTTACTATCAAAATATTTTTAAGTCAATTTTTATATATTTTAAGGTTAATATCTATTCAAATAATATTAAAAACGCATCTCTCACATAAATTTAACGTATAAAAAGAAATTAATTTATTTTTATGCTAACTCTAAAATTTAAATTTTATATTTAACTTTTAAAATAATACTTATTTATTAATTCATCCAACTCTTGAAGTTACATTGAAACAAACTCTAACCATACTACAAAAGTTTCTATATTCCTTAGGTGGTCCAAATATATATGCACGCGCAAGCCATGCTTGGTTTTTTTGTGTTGACCTAATGCCCAACACATGGAATCAAGACCATGGGAAATTCAACTGCTTTAATACAGCTCAAAGCTTAAAAATTCCTTAATCTCTACTGGATCAATCAAGGAATGATTTTACAAAGGTTGAAAACCCAATTTTTAATATCGTTATTGAAAATAACCAACAGTTAGAACCATGTAACATCAGAAAATTAATACAACTTGCCAAATTTCTAATTATTGTTGTTTCACGACTTCAAATTCCAAAAAGTCCTTTGAAAAAAGAAAAGGAAAAAGGAAAAAGGAAGGAATTTGAAAACTGCAGCATTTCTTTCTCCCTGGTGAGAATATATATACATTTTTGTTTCATATGGAGATCAAGATCTACTCATGAGATTTGAGCGTAAAGCAACTGTCCTTTTTTTATATATATATATGATCTTCTTGAGGTTTTCTTTTTCTTCTTTTCAATTATTGTTATTATTATTATTTAATGCAAACCAAATGGTAGTTGTATATATATATATATATATATATATATATATTTTGAACAAAGTGAAAAGGGTAGGATTCGAACTTCGAACTCACTAAAATGAAGGGAAATTGTACCTTCAAAGTGGTCCGAAGAGCCAAGTGCGGTAGTTGTATATATTTTCTCAATATTCTTTATTAATTTCTCATCATTAGCATGTTAATACTGAGCATCTAGCGTTAAAACTTGGTATCAATCTAACAATTGGGTCCATTAGTATCCTTTAAAATTCTTAATTTAATATCAAAAATAAAAAATTTAAACTCTGTAATATTAAGTGATTAATCAGTTAATATATAAAAGGAAAAAAAAAATACAGCAGTAAATTCAGCCTAAAAATTCGTGGTATCTGAAACGCTAGATATAAGCTAAAGACTGGCACTCATCTATCAGCTGGACCACGAAAAGCAGCTGCCTCAGCATTGCTTGGGATGTTGTGGAAAGGAAAATTTTCGTTCACCATAACTAAAGGAATTTGGTGGGTTCCAAAAAGCTTCAATCAAAATGGAAAAGCTTGAATCATTCTCGAAAAAGAATTCTTTTTCCCACTTTAGAAGTCGGGACAAATAAAGGAAAACAAACAGAACAAGACACATATTTGTAGCCAGATCAGGGAGAACAATATCCATCCACATGATAGAACTGGAACTTTTTTTTTTTTCCCCTGTTTTTAACCCCTTCTTTTTGGGGTCCCCAATCTGACAATCTCCAGTTCATGGGGTCAATGCCATTTCTGATTTAGTTTCACCTATACATAGTGCATATAGAGGATTAAGTATCTGTGGACTGTCTAGAGCTTATATCATTATGTCACTTGATCAATTCAACGGGCTTATTATTCATCATTTAATCAACTTTGTATTAAAATAACTAATTAATAATTAATTAATAATAGACCACCCCTGCTACCTCTAAGGGAGTCTTCATGCAGGTGTCTACAAAACTAATTGGGTAATAGACCAACCCCACTTTCTTAAGTTCTTATGCAGGTGTAACTCCAAGCTTGAATCTACTGGTAAGAAGTGTCATTTTGTAGG